CAAGCAGAGAAGGCTCGGGGTGGAGAAGGGTGTGAATCTTATCAATGTGTATCAATACCTGATAGGAGAGGGGGTAAGGAAAACAGAGCCAGGCTCTTCAGCGGTGCCCAGTGAAAAGAGGCAAAGGGCACAACTGAAACACAGGAAATTCCATTTAAACATAAGAAAAAACCTTTCTACTGTGAGGGTGGTCAAACACTGGAACAGGTTTTCCAGAGAGGTTGTGGGTTCCCCATCCCTGGAGATATTCAAAACCCAAGAGGACACGTTCCTGAGCAACGTGCTCCAGCTGACCTCGATTTTAGCAGGGGGCTTGGACTAGATGATCTCCAGAGGTCGCTTCCAACCTCAATTATTCTGTGATTCTGTAATTTTCTGAAGTATTATGTGCCTGATTATATACAGCCTGAAACAGTTTGCCCCAGCCTTTCTTTTCCTTTGGAGAGTTGCTGCCTACTATAATTCCAACAGGAACTTCTCAGCTTCCTCTTGGATGGCAGATTTACCTCCATTTTCAAAGCGCCCTGGCATTTCTTGGCTGTCCTTCCCTGACTTGCTCCATTAATAACTGAGATATCATTATCCAGGCAATACCTGATGAACAAAAATAAATTTTGCATTTGCCTAGCAAAACCCCCTGTGGTTTAGATGACTCACATACTCCCCTTGGTGTCCCACCCTTTCACAAAAAAGCCGTTCTCTTGCAACCCAACCTAGAACCTTACTTAGCTTAACCAACTCTGAACCCCTCCAATTTGTGCTCCATTATTGGTTGGTCCCAGACCGCCCACATCAGGTGAAGCTCAGCAAGTCAGAACAACTTGTGCATTCTATAATCCCAACTTTACAGAAGACAAACCCATCAACATTCTCAAGAAGAACACGGAAGAAGGGAGGAAATACCGAATACAATGGTTTCTTACGCTCTCCTATCATCACTCAGTTGTGCTACACAGAAATGAAATATCCTACTAACTCCCTGCAGCTGAGCCCCAGACACTCCAGCTGGAGAAGGCAAGTCAGAGGGATGCAAGCTCTCCTTGCTTTTACAGACACATTCAATGCAAGTACATCACTGGGTGGTCAAAGTGATGCCCATTCACCTCCTGATCCATGGGCTTCCTGGTGGATGCCATGCTCCTGTTCAGCCCATCAACTTGCAGCTTCTTTTATTTCAGTAACAAACGGCTAAGTTTTGCACCCGCTTTTGTTTCAGGATAGGGCTTCAACTCCCACTGACATGATAGATTCTCATTTTAATAACTAAACTCTGTGAAACAGGCTACAAATACGCTACCTAAAGCCTGCAAAGAAAAACAAAGTAGTAAGGGACCCTGCAACTGTACTGTTCCCAGCAAACACTCTAGTTAGGATGATAACTGATGAAAAAATATTTAGCCTGAAGCTAGTACAGACAGGCTACCCTGATGTTGGCTTCATGGTAGAAATCTCTGTGCTGAAGTGATCACCAAGCAGGATTCATACCTGCTAAACTAGCAGGTGCACGAGGGTCAAGAACAAACCAAAAACAGAATCTCACCTGTGCAAGAAGCAAAATGGCACAACCTACTGTCCTGCCAGAAGATACCAAAGGGACCGATTCAGTGATGGGAAAAGGGAGATTAAGAGCTGTAGCCCTGCCTTATTGAAACTGTCTGAGGAGGCAGATGCTTTGAGGACGGGGGTTGGACTAGATTATCTCCACAGGTCCCTTCCAGTCTCAGCTACTCTGGGATTCTGTGCTCCCAATCCCATGATGAATGCACACGCATGTCCAGAGCTCCTTCCACCACCCTGAAAGGTGCCTGCCTTGCCTACAGCAGCATGTCCCCGGCCATGCCAGAATGGCAGAGAGGCACATCAAACCACCAAAAGTTACAGGGAGCAGGAGCCTGGGATGTGATGGAAAACATAGCCTCAGAAAGAAGAATTTTTTTGTATTTGCATCAGAAACCAGAACAGCAAGTGCAAGGGATTATAATAGGGCCTACACAGTAAAGCAGAGAAGGTCTAGTTCATTACACAGAAATTACCTGTCCAGTGACAATGGCCTTACAGTTCTACAGTGCTTTTTTCCACAACAGATCATAACGTGTTTTACAAGCTTGAACTACTGTAGCCACAAATGAAATACGTTTAGAACACAAAAGTACAGCCACCTTGGATTAAGCCTACACCTTCATTCTGGTGGTGGAGAGGGAAGTGGGTTCTGTGGATAGTCAATGCAACAGGACAACATAGAACCACAATTATAAATCCTGTGAGAGCTTGGAAGAAGGTCTCAGATGATTAAGAAAGATCTGCACATCTAATTGGCATGAATTTTCTACTCCAAGTCTATTTTGTATTCTCTTTGGACTACAGGTGTTTTGATATGGGATTTAGAGCATTAAATTAGAGGCAGCAGCAAGCAGATGATGCAACACAGGTATGAAGTGATACGAGTTTCTCTCTGCCGTGGGAGTTTTCCTTTCAGCACGCTCACGTGGGAAGACACTCCTCCTCTCTTAAATTTGCTCAGCTCTGTTGCCACCTTACCATAGCAATGACTCAACTTTAATAAGATTTAGGGATACAATTAAGCAATGATAGACCAGGGGAAAATCCAGGAAAATGATAGAGCTTTTGACTTTCCCTTCTGCTTCTAGATGATGGGAAGGCAGAGATAGCTGGAGCCAGGCTCCAGACAATGATCGTGTTGCTTATAGAGATGCGCTCCCAGGTGTCTCACAACACCTGATGCAATCCAAGAAAGGGAAGCCTCCACATATGGCTGACAAGGCCTTTCTTGGATTAAAGTTCATACCTATGTCCCAGGAGGATCTCAAAATCTTCCTGAGACAGCCTCTCAGCAGGGCTGATGGCCCTTTGGGATGTTTTTATGATTACACGGCACACATTAGTGCCATCACCTATTATTTCTTAAGCACGTTCAGCATTTTCAGGACTGAACAAACACACATGAAGCATGGTGCCAACCTTCCA